TTTATATGGTTTAGTTATAAACATGTAACTGTATTGTTTTTACAAATTTTCAACACACGAAATTATATACGTGAATACAAGTTCTTGAAAAGATTTTTGGTCCAACGACGTCAACAGTCATTTTGAAAATTCTTCGTCCTTTCAAATATCCTGGACTTGGAGTGATGTCTTTCGAATAATTGAAACTTTCATTCAGCAACTGTCCGCCATGTTATTACTTGCCGAGATGGCAAAGGTGGCGAGCTCAGTAACCAAGCTTACAAATGTTTTATTCACCACCTAGCGTGGCTAGCGTGATAAGCCGAGCTTTTCGACCAATCAGAATGTCCATTTCGTATATTCCCCTCTGGATATTATACTAAGTTCTTTTATGAAAAAGAAAGAGTGTATTGTCCTTGGGAAAAAGAAAAAAATTATATCTGCTTTTGTTTGCCTGAACGTTTTGGAGAGCTTGAAAAGAGTTCGAGGAGACACTGTACTGTGGAAACACTCCACTACGATTTGTGTTTCCACAGAATTTGTCATTCTTCCAAACTTGCATTCGCGTTTCTATTAAGTCAACTATCACGCATAGAAATCTTGAGTTCATAATCTAATGCTTTAGAATAAATCTACTAGTCGTTCAAAACTTTATCGAAATCTTCTTCTGAGACACTTCGAAAACCCCAAGAAGCAGCCGTCATTTTTTTTTTTTTTTAACAAGGGCACGCTGCTACGCTACCCACTATCTACCACAGAATAGATAATGAGTAGCGTGGCCAATCAGAGAACGGCATTCGTGATAGAACGCTAGTACCTTTATACTAAAACTCAATAGAAACACGGAGAATGTTTCTTATTTCTTAAACGATCACGAATTCTGAATTCCAATAGTTTATGAGAAAAAAGGGAAATTAGCCAATTTTGAAATTCTAAAATTCTAACTTTACTCCGAGACTTGGGGGAATAAAACAAGAGACAAGTTTTATTCATCCGACAACTTCGATATGATTTATATGTGTTTTAATCCCCCCTAAAGCCGTACGCGTCGCGAGGAGAATGTGCCTTTCCATGACTCCCTTGGGCCCCGACCTTTCTCCAATCCAATCGTCTCTCACCAGACTCTCGCCAAAAACACTGAAGTAGCTTCTGGGTACGAGTCAGATTCTATATGACGTAAGCGTTGCATCTGAGTATTACGCGACCACGTAAAAATGACTAAAACTTTACTTGTTCAAGTAAATATGTTCTACTACGGCGTCAGAGTGCTTTACAAATCTTTCTTACTTCCGTGGTGTGCAGAAAGGTTACTAGGACTAGTTTTGACTGTGGAAGCGCTCACTCTCATGCAAGGTCCAAAAATTTAATAAACCCCCACGGCGCTTAATCGGAGAAATAAGGTATATAAGGTATATTTTTAACAGAAGAGTTTTATTTATTGTTTATATTATATTAAAATCTTATTACGGCCAGTTCATTCTGGCCTTAACAATAGCAGTCGGTTATTTTCTTATTCAAAGTACCTTTTTATACGGCCACCCCGTTAATACGGCCAGAGTTTGCGGCCCGTTGATGGTTTCATTGTATGTGAATTCTTACCCTTCTGTGCGTGGCTAGAAATTTGAAAGATACTTTTTCGTGGATAATATATATGCCCTTGCAACTAAATATTTTTATTGATCATAGTACAAACTAGAGCAAAACAAACTGAGGCAAAATGAAGTAAAACAAAATGCTAAATCGACTACAGAAGTACTGAATAACCTGGAAACACAGGCTAATATAAAGCTGACTCAATGCGTGGGACTGAGAACTGCTATTGAAACATGGATTCCCGAGAAATTCTCTAAACTGACGTTCTATGTGAATCTTCCCATAGTTATCAATCCATGGCTGTTCCAGTCTGAGTATTAAACTCCACAACAGCAGAGCGAATCATTTGTTTTTTACGAAGTCTTTCCCAGCCACTAAAACTGTAGCCTGTTGTAACTTGACTGAAAAACACTTCGGACAATCTCCCGCTAACAAACACGGCGATGGTCGAGACGATTGCGGACGAGTCGTACAATACCACGTTAAAGAGGAAGATTGCTGATAACGCAATAACCAGAAACACCAATATAGCGATCACATTCCACAACATACCGCAAAGTTCATTGGCAACGGGTAATACTTTGTAAGTGTTACAGACGAACCAAAATAGGTCTGTTGGAATGGTCTCTTCATGACCGGTCAACTCTTTCCACTGTTCTGAAATCATTTCTTTGATCTGCTTGTATCTGTTTTGTAAATTATTGAAGCAAAGATGGATGTTTCTCCAAACCACAAAAACAAATGTTACATAAGGAATTGTTACTTCCCCGTTAAGAGTTAATCCCATGATTACAAAACCGACCATTCGCACAACAAACTGACATGAAAAAACTGCAAGGATGAAGACACTTAAAGAGGAGTAAACTAGAGTTAAAAACAAGATGCCCCTACACACTGGGCGTTTGTGAATATATCTAAACGTTACCTTCATCAGGCAAAAATAGGGTGAGTATATTATGGTGCATATAACTGACGCAAATAATATAACTAAAAATGCTAGTAATGAGACTACTGGAGCAAAAAATAACATCAATAAAGCAGTCCAGAACACACAAATTACATGTCCGCATAACGAATGCAGAGAGTGAACATGCGTATCATGTAACTTACCCTTGCGGCATATGCTTAGAAAAGCTTTCAACAGGGTTAACAATTTCTGTGGAATTATTTGAGGCACGGCTTTTACTTGCTGAATTATTTCCCTTTGAGGAGTAATGTGACTCGCTGAAGTTCCCTTTTCTGGTCTCCAACACACAATTAATACGCCCGGAATTATAAAATATGGCAAAATAAACAGAACATACACAAGGGGTTTATCCAAGCTAAACACGTTAAGGTAAAAATCTGCTACTTGAAACAGGAGCTTTTTGGAAGCATCGTCGAGATGATTACTTTTGATTATGAAGTACAACACTAGCTTTATATAGAAAAATATCGGAATAACACAATACCAAATGAAAAACAATTTTACGTTAAATCCATGGCTTAATGTTGGTAGCATTTTGACGCAGTTTCGAACCATCATTGCGAAAGTGATTGGACTTAAATCATCTATTGGGATTGTTTCAAAAGCGGAATTTCCGATGTGGCTGCCCTGTTCAAGATCATAAAACGTTCCCTCGCCTCTTGTTACGGTTCGGCGAGTTTTTAAGCTCTCAAGGGCGGTTTGGTCTTCTAAATCGTTTGTTTCGCAGCTTTCGTGATCTTCTTTGAAAAAAGAGTCAGGTATCGCACACAAAAGCAAAGGCCAGTACAAGAACACAGCCCCTACAACTACTGCTAGGATGGCGTTGAAAACTGCCAGCCATTTGCTCTCTTGAATATCCAGATCACAGTGAATCGTGTTGTCATTACCATCTTCACCTGCAGCACAACACTTATATTTAAAACCGCCGCAAATGCCAAAAGAAAATTCTTGTAATATCCGAAAACAGACCACGCCTTCCCTCCCATTCGGCAATTTGCTAGAAGTTAAGTTTCTCGTTATATCCATCAGTGCATTTGCGATCGCAACGTCCTGACACGATGAATTAACGTTAGCAAGACATCCGCTTTGAAGTTCTTTCAAATGCACCTCTATGTTTCTTGCTTGATTCTTTAAAAGACCAAGCGATAAGACGTCGTAATCATACGACAGAGACAACATGGGTTCTCGAATACTTTGGGCCCAAGTCCACCGGTAAGGAAGAATTCTGTTCTTGGAGACGAGAGGATTGTACTTGTTGTTGTTGGAGATTTTGAAGTTGATGTAAACGAGTCGAACACTCCCCTCGGAAGCTTTCAATCGAAACTCTGGTGACGAGTCACCTTGTATTGAAATCTGACATTGCGCTTCACCACAAGACTGACTTGCAACGATGTAGGAAGTCAAATACGACAAGACAACGAGAAAGCAAACAAATTTCTCCCGGGCCATCTTGCTTACTTTTAGCGGTGAATGGGCTACTGTGAGCTTTTGTTGTAAAGGTTAACATTTATATGACCCTACATCACGACATTTTTACATCACAATATCACAATGTCGCATTTTATTTTTGATGAATAATTTGCATTCTAAAGAAGCTACGATCGTCATGCGGAACTCCGTTGCGCTTTCAGCTGAAATTATTTTCTTTTTCAAACAACGTGACTCGTTAATTATAGTCATCTTACTGTGAAGGCTTGGTAAACTGAAACCCAGGAAATTCTAGCCCGTGTTGCAAGCGTAGACGGGGAAGGGGTAGGGAGGCAAAAATTAAATCCATCCGCGCTTTGCCCCCCCCCCCCCCCCCNATGGCTGGATATTGGCCAAGTTCCTTTTTGCGTGTTTATGGACCGAGACGGAGTCGAGGTCCATAAACTCGCAAAAAAGGAACGAGGCCAATATCCAGCAATCTTCACCGAACAAGCTTGGTCAATAAAGGATTTATTATATGGCTTTCGGGGAAATTTTTCTTGCGGGACACGGCAGGTAGTCCCGAGCGGGCAAGAT